CCTGAGAACAATCAATATCAGGCCACAGGATGAATCTAGGAATCAAGATTGCACCAGCCAGATACAAACTTAGGAAATGAAGTTACAAGGACCATTCAAAACCAAAAGAGTTGCAACAGGGAACCAGGTGGGTTAATCTGTAAATGACAACAATGTAAGAACAATAAAAGAAGGAATAAATGATGTCAATATAGAACTTTCTAATGGAGAGGAAGGCAAGGCAATATCAAGTAATAATATACTGGTTCAAACCTAGGAAGATAAGGGTAAATTTCAAGGTAACCACAAATAAATTTAACAAAGTCTCAGTAAAAACAAAATCTACAAAAACGAAAGAATGAAAAAAAAAATCCTCAAACGAAAGGAATTCAGCACAGGAGAGTAACAGGAACAAAGAAATCATCAGCACCACAAAAAAAGCACTACAAAATGACAATAAACTCACACCTATCAATAATTACACTGAATGTAAATGGCCTAAATGCACCTATAAAGAGAGAGAGTGACAGAATGGATAAAAAACAGGATCCATCATTATGTTGTCTTCAAGAGACACACCTTAGAAACAAAGACGCAAATTAATTAAAAATCAAAGAAAAGGAAAAATTGTATCAAGCAAACAGCTACCAAAAAAGAGTAGGAGTGGAAATACTAATCTCAGATAAAATAGACTTTAAAACAAAATCCACTATAAAAGACAAAAAAGGGCACCATATAATGATTAAATGGATGATCCATCATGAAGACATAACCATAAAAAATATCTATGCACCCAATGACAGGGCTCCAAAATACATAAAACAAACTCTAACAGCAATGAAAGGAGAAATTGACAGTTCCACAATAATAGCAGCAGACTTCAACATATGACTTTCAGTAAAGGACAGAGTATCTAGAAAGAAACTCAGCAAAGATACAGGAGGTCTGAAGGGCACAATCAGCCAACTTGACCTCATAGACGTATATAGAACACTCCATCCAACAGCTGCAAAGTACACATTCTTTTCCAATGCACATGGAACATTCTCTAGAATAGACCACATCTTAGACCACAAAGCAACCTTCAACAAAATCCAAAACACTGAGATAATACAAACTATCTTCTCTAACCACAATGCCATCAAAGTAGAAATTAATAACAGGAAGAGTAAGGAAAAAAAAAAAACAAATTACATGGAAACTGAATAACACCCTGCTTAAAAACCACTAGGTAATAGAAGAGATCAGAGATGGAATAAAAAAATTCCTGTAATCAAAGGGTAATGAAAACATATCATACCACAACCTTTGGGACACAGTAAAGGCAGTGCTCAGGGGTCAATTTATAGCAATAGATGCACGCATCAAAAAAGAAGAAAGCGACAAAATAAAAACATTAACTACACAACTCGAACATATAGAAAGAGAACAGCAAAAGAAGCCCACAGACACCAGAAGAAAGGAAATAATATAGATCAGAGCAGAAATAAATGAAATAGAGAACAGAAAAACAACAGAAAGAATCAACAAAACCAAAAGCTGGTTCTTTGAAAGGATCAACAAAATCAACAAACCACTGGCCAAATTGACCAAAGAAAAACAGGAAAGGACTCATATAACCCAAATAAGAAATAAAATAAGGGACATTACAACAGACCCAACTGAAATAAAAAGGATCATAACACAGTACTATGAAAAATATACTCCAAAAAATTTGAAAACCTAGAGGAAATGGACAAATTTTTAGAAACACACTACCTACCCAAATTAACACAAAAAATGATGTTGAAAATCTGAACAGACCCACAACAAGAGAAGAGATTGAAAAGGTAATTT